AACTGCTACTGAACTCTCCAGACCGGTCGTTCATAAGCAACGCTTTACACCTTTCCCGATAAGCTGCAATTTTGTAACCATTGGAAATGGGTATTTGCTACGCTAGTTCCTGATATTCTTCCTTCCTTCTTCCCCTCTCATAGTGTGCGCACGCTGGTGGCTATTCGAAATATGTTTCTTATAGGCGCCATTTCTGTGAAGTGTGAGAAGAGAGGCAATGAACCAGTATATGTTTACCACTTGGCTTTCCGTACCATTTCGTAATGTGAGCGTTTTCGGATAGGGTAATGCTAAAGCTCAGAAATGGAAGCCAATTTTCCCATGGTTTTCCTCAGATAAACTTAATATACTCTCACTGTTCGTTCAATAGCTCAAAACATTTGCCGATTTCCTCTTCTGTTTAGCAAATGGCAAAGGAATAATCTATAAGTCTACAGCAGAGTAATGTTGTGGATAAGTTACTGGTGCTTCCACTTTAGACGTAAATGCAATGGCAAGGCTTGGTGCCAATCTCTGTCCGATGTGGTATGCGGGAGGTGCGAGAAAGAGTTGTCAATGACTATCGGCTAGCTCATGATTAGACGTTATTGTTTCGTCATAGACGACTTTCGATTACCTCCAATAAATCTTCAAGTGTTGTGTGACCACGAGAGCTCTTATAATCAGCCTTGGCTAGCTCAATTTAAGAGAGTAGACAGTGGGACAAAAATGCATAAACAGAATTCCAAGGCAGTATCGAAACGTTTTCATTTCATTTGCTGATTTCTATTCGCCATTATTGACAATAATGATGATGAATAGGGCCAGGTTATCCAGCGCCACGACAGTCTTGAAAAAATGATGTTTGAAAGTTACCAAAATAGTCTACAACCAGAGATGCTCGTGGAGTGAGAGGAGAGGAAATACCCAGTATGTTTTTACTACTTGACTTTCGGTGCCATTTCGCAATGTAGCTGTTTTCGGGTAGATTAATCTGAATGTTCAAAAATGAAAGCCAATTTTCATACGGTTTCTCTCAGATAAACTTAATGTACTCTCACTGTTCGTTCAATAACACTGGACGGGCATTTGCGGATTTTCACTTTTGTTAGGTAATAGCAGAGGAATCATCTATATGTCTACAGCAGAGCAATGTTGTGGATAGGTTACTGGTGCTTCCACCTTAGACGCAAATGCAATGGCAAGGCTTGGTGCCAATCGTTCCCCGATGTGGTATGCGAGAGGTACAAGAGGGAGTTGTCGATGGCCATCGGCTAGCTCATGATTGATCGCCGACTAGACGTTATTGTATTGTCATAGAGGAGTTTCGATTGCCTCTAATTATTGTATTGTCATAGAGGACTTTCGATTTTCAGATGGTCTGGGAAATATTTCGCGCAAATAAGGGGTTGGCAATGTCACAGCGATTGGCACCATGCCTTGCCATTGTCTTTATGTCTAAGATAGAAGCTCCTGTTCTCGATCTCCGGCCACTACTCTACTGCAGATATGTAGATGATTGTTTTGTCGTCTTCTCTACGCAGGAGGAGATGGACAAATGCTTTGAATTATTGAACGAGCAGTCCGAGTACATAAAGTTCACCCAGGAGAAACCGAGAAAAAACTGGCTTCCGTTTTTGGACGTTCAAATAAACTTATCAAGTAGCGGTTACTTGACAAAGTGGTACCGAAAGCCAAGTAACAAGAACATCCTCGTTCATGTCCTTTCTTCCCACCATTCACACACAAAGAGGGCGATTGTGAGAAACACGTTTCGAACAGCTACCTCTGTGCGCACTACCAGGGAACTAAAGGAAGAATCGCGCGACTTGGCTCGGCAAATAGCCATCTCCAATGGCTACGAAACAGTAACCCCACGAGATAAGTTTGCAAGGAGAACGACGCGCCCACGCGAAACATTTGGCCAAAAGAATGTCCCGTTTATGTTGCCTTTTATAAGCGATGAACTAAGCGTAGCTATAAAAAGATGCTTAAGAAGGGCAGGTCTAGAGGAATCAGTAGCGATAGTTGGAGTACCACCGGCTACCCTACGTTGTCAATTAGTTCGTAACCGCCTGTATGAACGTCTGTGTGAAACAACAAATTGCGTAATTTGCACTTACGGCAGGGACGGTGATTGCATGAGTTCAGGTACGATATACCTGATCTCTTGTAATAATTGAGGAGATGAATATATTGGCGAAACGGGCAGACCTTTCTGTATCCGTATAAAAGAACACCTAGATGGCGAACGAAAACTAAGACGAAGCACCCCCTAGGCACGCATTGGATACAAAAGCGTAGCGGAGACGATTTTGAAGTAAAAGTCAATATCCTTGCACAGGAGTCCAAAACATCAGCGCGAAAACTTCGTGAGGCTTTCTGGATAAATGCCAAAAACCCTACAATGAATAGCAGGGATGAATGCCCGGAGGTCATACGCGACCTGACCCCGTATGTTCGCATCAATTTCTGATGTGGGATGGTGCAGTCGTCAACCACATGCGACTATAATGAGCTGTTCCAAACTTCCTCATTGGAAGTCACGAAAAAGCGGTGGGTTTTTCGAGAAGTTGTTGATCGTGTAGTTACCAAAGAGTCTTTCGTCTTTGTGTAAGTGTTATTGAAGCGTTTGGCCTAGTAGATTGTATATCAGTATACCCTTCCAGGCCCTGAAGAAGGCGATACTGCCGAAACATCAGCCAGTGTTGTATTGTATTGTTTTTCTATGGAAGTAAATGTATGCTGTTTAAAAACCTCGCGATTGCTGAACAATAAAACGACACATTCATATTCCAATGCCGAGGTTAATAGAAAGTCGGTCCTGGGAACTATTACAAGATCTCAGAGTGTTGTGTGACCAGTAGACCACATGAGATCAGCCTTGGTTAGCTCAATTGAAGAAGTAGAAAGTGCGACCGTTCAATAAAATAATGACAGGGGTGTCGTTACAGTATTGTAAGGAAGTATTACAACATGGTGTAAGTGGCAGTAATATTTTTTTATTTCTCAAATAACCGCTAAGTTAATCATAAATTGACACCTAAAAATAAGCATTAAATGAGAACTGGTGGTGAAAACTTATCTAATCCAACTGCTTTATTTGACTGCATAGTTTGATGGATTCGCTACTATAAGAAAGCACAAATTATTAGTTCCTTTTGTAATTTTTTGATGTGTGGTTGAGCAACAGCTTTAACATCTCGGTGATTCGGGAAACTTCATTATAGGTGGTCGGTGTAGTGATGAACTTGAACGACTGTATTAAAACCAACCACAATGATTTCTGAGATATTTGCAAAACTCCGGACCGCAGGTGTCTATGGTGGGGAACGAACTCGTTATTATCCTTTCTCGGGGCTAACACGTTCACCACCACACCGTGCCAGTCCTTCGTTTCGCCTGTCTCCCAGTCTTACCAAAAGCGAATATGAAACGCTGTGTTTGGCTTTTATAGCAGCTATTAATGAAAAGTCAACCCGTTGCCCACCGTCCATATATAATTCCGGGTTAATTTTTTAGTAACTATTCTTGCATTTTTGACTTATTATTTACTACCTACTCTTTTAGCTACAGCCTCAGCTTAACTGGGTTCGTTGCCGATTTGGGCTCCTCAAATCAATCCCGCTAACGGGCGATTGCTGATGACCAAAGATCTATAGAACTAGCTGAGAGAGGCGAAGCAAAGGACCCGCATGGTGTGGTGGTGAGGGCGTTAGCTCCCGGAAGGAGTAATAGCTCGTACGGTCTCCACCGTGGACAACTGCGCTCCGAAGTTTTGCTAACACCTCAGTATCACTCTAATTACATCCCACATAATACCCTGATATCAAGAATTGTAGTAGACAATAAACGAAATTCTTTCTACTTTTGTTCAGCAAACACGTGTTACTTTATTTCTCTATTTACGTACAAGCTGACGTTTCGGCGGATTTCGCCTTCCTAAGAGCCTGGAAAGGTCAGGTTGACTACAATCTACACGGCCAAACACCTCCATAACCAAACAGAAAAAATGCTAAACCAGAATTTCAATCACATTGAACATAGAGTCTTTGCGCACTCACCGCTTTCTATGAGTCTTCCATTAAATATGTTACGTGGAGGCCAATCGCACAGAGTTGGTCGGTAACAACTGCGCGGTTGGTCTCCACGTAACATGTTTAGTGGAAGACTCATAGAAAGCGGTGAGTGTGCAATGACTCTGTGTTCAATGTGATTGAAATTTTGGCTCAGCATTTTTTCTGTTTGGTTATGGAGATGTTTCGCCATGTAGATTGCAGTCAACTTGACCTTTCAAGCTCTGAGGAAGGCGAAATCCGCCGAAACGTCAGCTTGTACCTAAGTAAAGAAATAAAATAGCACCTTGTGTTTGCTGAACAGAAGTAGAAAGAATTATTCAATCAATGCCGAGGTTAATAGAAAGTCGCACTTTGGAATAAACAGAAAGTTAACAGCGTGTTCTTAGTTTTTCAACTGCTGCTAGAGGAGCGGTTAGTGTACAGTTGTTCCATTTCTGTGATATCGGTGAGTTCATTACGAAGTTCAATAAAATGGATGCCTTTCATAATTATACTTACACTGAATCCATTCAGCTTGCATGTGCATAGGACTAACAGGGGATGAAGAAATAGAAGAAAAAAATCACGAGAGCAAAAAATAAGAAAATTGGGGAAATCCTGATTTGAGTGTCCTTGTCGTCAATTATAATAAGATATACATGAGGTTGAACCGCATTGAAAACCTTTATTGTCAATTTTAATTCTGCTGGCTGTAAGCTGTTATTCCTAGTCAATCCTAGTCAAATTCCACAGATTCGAATGCTCGTATGGGTGAGAATGATGTGAAAAATGACAGTCTTCCCAAATCGCTTTTACTTTGCCTGGATTTCTGATCTCAAACAGTCTAAATGATTGACCTTGTGCACTCTATGGAGATTGCCACAACAACGAGATCTCAGGTCTAAATAGGATTAGCACATTATATTTACCATGAAAATAATTTTTAGTGGATATGTTTCCAATTCAAAGAATGTTTTTCACGTCAAAATCGGTGACAACTGCAAAATGATCGGACGGGTAATCGTTGTTCCAGTGACGTGGTATCGGCTGCAATGGCTCGGAACCAGCGTAAACGAAGGATCTGATTGGTGTTATGTCACCTTAAAGGAAAGGGCTTTTTGGAAGAATGAAGCACAACTGTTGGCACCGCAGAAGCAGAAAATAGGAATATATGTCAGCTTTGATATGGTTATTCATTGCAGGCAATCTTGCATTATTCGGATTATTTACTCAAAGCTCATCGGAACTTTGACACAGTTGGCGGAGCGACAGTGATGACTCACAATTTTTGTGAAAATGGTTCAAAGTCCTTTATTTAAGTAAATCTAATTACAAGCAGCCTTTCATCAGAATCCTGGAACCACAGCAGATTTTACCCTACGGAAAGTTTAATTGATGTACCTGTTATTGTTTTTCAAGCTGATTTTTCGAGAAAGGTATAGTTTGGGTCATTTCTCACCTAGACAGAAGATGAAGTCAATCCGATCTTGCGGTTCCGGAATTGTGTAGTCCCATTGCTCATTGAACTTGTTCACGGTTGACCATGTATAACCTGTAATGTACTCAACAAATCCTGACAAACTAAGCTAAACGGGCAACTAATTTTATGTTTTTCTAATGAGCAGACTTTACATGGTTAAAATAATATTCGTTCGACGGTATATAACGTTTCGCCTGACTTGACTTCCTCAGAACTTCGATAGGCCACATTACACTGTCACCTTAGGCAAATACATACGTTATATGTGATATTGTAACTGTTATCGCCCATGTATTACTCTGTGCGGCCGCTATCCACCAACTAACTTAAATACTTACAACAAATAAACGGCTCTGGAGAAGGCGAAACCGCCGAAACGTCAGCTATTGTACTCTAATAAATGCTATAATAACAACCTTATGTCTGCTTATTGAAGAAAAACATCGAATTATCAATCAATGCCGAGGTTAACAAAAAGTCGATTTTGGGAATTCCATTATTTATAAAGCCACAATGATGCTGAGATATAAAACTCCGGACTGTAGGTGTCTGCGGTGGGGAACGGACGCACTATTACCCTTGCCGTGGTCTAACACGTTCACCGTCACACCATGCGGGTCCTTCGCTTCTCCTCTCTCTCAGCCAGTTCTATTACTCTATCTACTATTTATGTTACTAGTTCTATTCATACTAAATGCTAATTGTTAAATACTTCAAGCTCCGAGGCTACATTGCTGAAACAGAATATGATATTTTAGACCAAAATCCATTGTTTACAAAGCGAAGTGAACGTTGTTTTGCTGAATAGAAAGTGTTAGTTCCGTTTACAAAGGCGCAATTTTACTAGGAAGAATTTGTGCTACACCTAACTCAAGCAACATTCTGAGATATCCATACGATCCGAGAGACTGATAACGACTGCTAATTCAAGAATGGAAGCACGTTATGAAAAAGTTCTCGAGGGCGGAAAATTCTGCGGTCAATCGCCTAGGACCAAAGCTAAAAAGTAGGACACATAAAGTCTTTGCTTTAAATAAAAACTTGCTGAGATATTTGCAAAACTCTGGACCGCAGGTGTCTATGATGGGGAACGAACGCGCTATTATCCTTTCCGGGGAGTAACGCGTTCACCACCACACCATGCGGGTCCTTTGTTTCACACGTCTCTCAGCTATTTCTATCGATCTTTTTGCCACAGCAATCACCCGTCAGCGGGGTTGATCTGGGGAGCGCAAATCGGCATAGAACCCAGTTAAGCTATGGCTGTAGTTGAAATCACAATGTTTAACGTTTTGTTTTCTGCCTTCTATAATTTTCATGGCAGGTTACTAAGCGAAATACAACCACAACGTTGCTGAGATATTTGCAAAACTCTGGACCGCAGGTGTCTATGGTGGGGAACGAACGCGCTATTATCCTTTCCGGGGAGTAACGCGTTCACCACCACACCATGCGGGTCCTTTGTTTCACACGTCTCTCAGCTATTTCTATCGATCTTTTTGCCACAGCAATCACCCGTCAGCGGGGTTGATCTGGGGAGCGCAAATCGGCATAGAACCCAGTTAAGCTATGGCTGTAGTTGAAATCACAATGTTTAACGTTTTGTTTTCTGCCTTCTATAATTTTCATGGCAGGTTACTGCTGTGGCAAAAAGATCGATAGAAATAGCTGAGAGACGTGCGAAACAGAGGACCCGCATGGTGTGGTGGTGAACGCGTTACTCCCCGGAAAGGATAATAGCGCGTTCGTTCCCCACCATAGACACCTGCGGTCCAGAGTTTTGCAAATATCTCAGCAACGTTGTGGTTGTATTTCGCTTAGTAACCTGCCATGAAAATTATAGAAGGCAGAAAACAAAACGTTAAACATTAAAAACTTGCTGTCAAACATGGCACCAAACTGTTTTTTATCTTCGTTTGTGCACTTTCGTTGGTTTTCTTTCTTGCCTCAACAGTGACTCTCTTTCTCGTCGAGAGCGAATTGCAGTAGAATGCATGTTTTTCAGTTTTCACAATTGAAATGCAGTTGTTTTCTATTTTTCTGCCTTAGTTACATTCGCTCCTAAAAAAATCAAGAACTTTTTCCTCTCGGAACAACTTTTTTGAATTTTATTTTTCTAATTGTTCACAATGTTATCAGAAACGAAAAAAACATGTGAAAATTTGTTGCATGTCTTACTGATAAGTCCCTTACAAGCTAAGAAAGCCTCCGCTTTACTTATGAACATTGAGAAAAAAGTAGAACGAAGCGAGAATCTGAAATGCGTTGAACAGCAAACTGACCAGGATCGGCGTCGACGTTTGGATGGACCTCGCGAAACGAGTCAATGAAACCCAAGTCGGACATGATTTTCGTAGCTGGCCACTCCACTGACCATCCGCCATGTCTTCTTCTGAAAGTTCCTGACTCAATTCGTGTTCTCTATTGCGTTAATATAAATCAAGCTCAATTTTTCGGTGTTTTGGCAAATTAACGTAATACCGTTGGCCAGTGAATACGGAAGCAGAGCTGGTCGACAATTGCACTGATAAGTTACGGTTTTGCAACTAATACGTCAGCCGCGAAACGAGAACATTGGAAACGAAAGTTGTTAAGCTCTCACTTTGCTTTCACCGTCCAGTCTAAGTGAGATGGAGAGTTGAAATCGCCGGCAACAATCACTGGCACGTAGCTTGACTTTCTTATCCAAGAGGCCATCTTTGGATTGTTTTTTATTTCTTCCATATTTTGTCTCCTTCCTTAAAATTTGGCTTAAAAATTGTTTCTTACCCCACAACCGATAAAGAGATGAAAGCGTTAATTCATTATATTTATAATTATGAAAATGGAAATCAGGAAATTGAAAAGATAGTTTTTTCAGTATTCCAAAAGCAATGAAATAGAGTTCGCTTCCCTGCGCGTTTACTGATGGTCCTTGCAGAGACTGTTTTCTATTCCTTCACACAACTTGGGTTGCTAGAAATATTGTTTTCTTATTTTTTTAAGCTGACCGTCATTTAATCCCGGCATTGAAAATCAATGGCTTCCCGAATTATTTAAGCTAACACGAGGCTGATAAAAAATTTATTGGGCTAGGGTTTCAACTTATTCGTCTTCTTCAGAGCTGGACTGATCCAAGTCGGTGATCACAGGAAACCGCCCTCCAGATATGGTTGTTCGTTGTCGCACCGATTGAATTCAGTTGGTTAACTTTAGTGGAATCAAACGATCCCTATCAAATTGATGAATTCCAACCACTCTATCAGTATTTTCTTCGTTCTGTGTGACATTTCATCTTGTTGATTGCTTCGCTTTCCAAACTGAGTTTAGGCCAAGAGTGAGATTAGTCCTGTTAGGGGTCATTTACATCTTTCGTCCGATTTCTCCACTTATATAGTTACTCACTTCGTTGCGTGGTTGAGCCGACTTTATAACTAGTATGAGCCTTAACATACCTTTCATTCGTTTCCTTCTCGTGAAATCGTTGCATCACGGTGGCTGTCTGCTTCGAATATGGTGACATCCGCGGAGCGCACTTCGTGAACCAAAAATCCTATCTATCATTGAGTGCAGATGCTGACGTGCTGTGAACAAGTCAGCACATAGTGTAGAAGATCCTCCAAAAAACGATTACGTGCTCTTGATGCCTATTGCTCGCTCTTTCGTCCACCTGTCATCTGTTCTTCCTATTATGTGACCATCTAGTTTTGTCATCGTTGCATAATCCTCTCGATTTCGAATATGAGACAGCTTTTGAAGAACTGTTCTGTGCATTTTGCTTTTTGAAGAACTAACCCGCTAAGCGTTACGTATTGGTTGAATTTCAGCTGACCTTTCTTTTAAGCATTTTCTGAGTGATTTGCAGCATCCCTGATGTGCTTGAAGTATCAGTCCACGTCTCTTTTGCGTAACAGAGCTCTGGAAGAATTGTTGAGACGAAAAGGTGAGCGCGTAGTCTTGCGTCCGTTAGCTGGTCGGCGGCTTTTTTGCAAGACCCAAATGCGGGCCATGTTGCTCTCCCTCTTCTATCAAATTTCTCTTTCATTTTGCTCGTCATGTTCATTGAAAAGGCGACGTACGCGCACTAGGTGGTCGTAGGCATCACAGAACCTGCACGTTCGATTCCTCCATTTCAGTACCACGAGTTTTCACGAACTAGATTCCTTTCCGATTTATGGATTTCTTTTGCACCTCGTTAAGTTTTTAAACATCGTTTCTGCTTCATTGATACTCCTCGAAAGGATAGTGATATTGTCACCAAAACGAAAATTTTCTACGACTTTTGCACCAAAGCTTATAAAAATTTTGGCGAGATAGTGTCGCTTTGTCTCTACCTTTCCTTCATGATAAACGGCGAATGGAAGTCTTATTTTTTCACTGCGATTACTAGCAGTGGAGCTCTTATTATAAAGCAAGTCCACTTCTTGCCCACAAAACGCTGATAGGATTGCGTCCAGTTGAACGCTGTAAAACAATTTTTCATAGTCCACAGAAGCTAGACGGAGAAGCAGCTGGTGTTCTCGACAAAATTCTATGCTCCCTAGACAAAGTTTGGAAGGGGTTCACACGGCAGGATCTCCGTCGGGATCCTGTTTACTGAACTGGTTGTGCCTTCTTTGATATTTCTGATATTTGCAATAGTGCATTCTCCGTTATTCATTTGAAGGTAATATGTCACATGAGCTGCGTGAAATACACATAGATCACGGTATCCACCTCAAAGAAAGTCGGCTGCCAAACCATTGTGCCCTAGAGCTCTGCCTCTTCGCGCTTGCTATCGCAAGTCGAACGTTTGAAGGAAGACTGCGTTAGTCTTCACCGGCTGAGAGATTTAGAGATTTGGGACGGAAGCAGTACAACACAAGAAAATGGTATTAAATTTTTCTGCTGTTAACCGCCTATCATGACGAGAGATATGAGTAATCCCACCTTTGTTCTTCTGTTGCAATATCGATGCATGAACATTAACATTGCGCAGGTTCCGATTGCACTTGTTAAGAGTTGTTCTTCATTCCAGCTGTACTCCCAATGTTTTTTCATAGCCAATTTAAGGCTTTCCACAAAGATCCTTTTTAATTGACATTTTCTACCAACTATGCTAGGTGCTCCATGCCTAAATTTCGTTCCCTTTTCAAGCAAATCTTTGGTGGTAATGGAGGTTCTATTTAAATTTTTTATTTAAGAAGCTGATGCAACAACGTCGAAAGGTTTGAGTCAGGCAAGGAGCTTGTAGTCTTTGGTGGAGTCTTGTCTAGCTTGTCCGTTATATCAGGAGTTTTTTTGACAATATTTGCGCTACATGCTTTTCCCCTTACACGACTTGCCTTCTTCTCTTTCGTCAACGACAAGAGTTTTAGCCAATGCCTGAATCCAATTTCCAGTTGTCAGATTTCTCACTGCTGAATGGTTACACCACGGAAGTGTCAGAGAGACGCACGTTCCCATTAATCTCCGCATGAGTCATATCGCTGGAAGATTTTCGGGTTCGGCGGTCATTTTCTGTTTTCTTGATTAATGGATTTCCATGGAAGAGACAGGCTGCGGGAACAAATCCAGCAAAACGGTTTCGATTCGCACTTCGATCTCAAATTCCAATTTTTCCTATCTTTTCTTCATTTGCTTCCCGCCATAATCTAGCACGGAAGGACAAAGAAATTAAAGAACAAGTTTTTGTTGTAGATTACTTCTTCCAAATAATTGTAGAACCAATCCAATTCTTTATTACCCATGGTGTTTCGTGAGTAGCAGACGACGATATTGAGCATCTTTTGATATAGAAGTTGGAGGCGAAGAATAGCCCGACAAAATGATAGGACATTATATGGGACGATATGATAGGTAGCAGTTTGCTGTAGAAGAAGCTGATGGCTCAGACATTTCGTCACGGAAATTTCCTTCCATGAATGACGAAGATCCTGCAATCTAATTGAAAGTTGCATTCAATTTTAGGAGTTCATCCTCTTTTAGAAGAGAATAAAGAAAGCGTCTAAGAAGACCGTCATGGCGTTACTATGTTTGAAAAACAATAACTATCCCCGTTGCGTATTGTGGACATACTCGTTTGGTCCACTACCAATGATTGTTCTTCCTGTGCAACCCTAGATGTGATTTCCCGTCATCGCACAACGTCATACTTGAGTCCGGTAATTTGTAAATTGTTGAGGCTGGCTTATTGCCGCCTGAGCACTCATGATTCCCTGAAGTCCAGAGTATAGTAGGAGCTTTCATCATGTTGTCACCTCCGACAGTCACCGAAGAAGAAAATAGTAAAATTACTGACCAGTTAGAAGGCAATGAGATATATTTTAGACCATGTGTTTTCAAATCTACTAAGGTAAAATGATTCTTCCTGAATTAAAAAAAATATGCTCTAATCAAGACAACGGAGTTTAACCTAGATTGCTCTAAAAATCCTTTAGAAGTCGCAAAAAGAATTTAAAACGTCGAAGTGAGCATTAGAAAAACTTCGCTAGCACCTTGACCACTTCTTGGATTCTCTCCAGCCATAATTTGATCCATGGAAGTGACCAATTTGTTGTATGCAGCATACGGTCCGTACGAAAGGTAGTCGAGATGTACAGACCAAACATTCACGAAATACCATGAGTCGACCAGAATTCTTACACCAATTCCTCTGCTGGTGTTTGCGTAGGACTGTGAGTGAATCTAAATTACGTTAATGAATCTTAATTAATAATTAATATTTAATATTTAATGTTAATATTTAATTAATTACGTTAATTAATATCTTTAAGAATACATCAGCCATGAAGTTTTTCAAGGTATGCTGTTCCAATAAAGGAGGATTGCAGAGCGCTCTGCTTTCACCATACCTCGTGCTTGGTGATGATCGCAACGTCTGGCGAGTCTTTGTTCTGATGACAAATGCTTGTCCACTCATCACCTAGTAAGGCAGTAAGGTTGTTTAGTGCGTTGATACTCACGACTTCCTAAATAAAGCTATTTGACATACTATTTCGCGGAAGTCCTATCAAGAAGTACAGAAACATATTTTATTTCATGCAAGGATTAACAACTTAAAACTCGCACCATTTGGAACCTTACTAAAATCTAAGTTTATGCTTTGGTTTTTTTATTCACAGGCTTAACTTCATGATTGTGGCCAGTAATTTCGCTGGGTACTGCACCAGATTTGAACACGTGGTCTGAAAAACAAATGTGAACTTACCCCGTCTGGTATAATAGTGCGCAAAAGTAATATAGGAAAATTTAATTTTGCGCTAAACCGATGAGAGCGGTGCCTCCATTATAGCGAGGTAATATTGTTCTGTAGATAGAGAAGAGGCTAAACAATCATACCACATGCACTGGGTTTGATGATCTGTTGTTTACTTATTTGTCGTTTAACAATGTCAGCAGATCTCCTTCACGAAAGCATCTGCAGCCGTAGTCTCTACCCGATGGATATGGGCAGTGAACTCTCATTTTCTTCGAGAGAGAGGTAGGTCTGAGGCACGAACTTTTCTGCTATGCCGGATCGACATGTACACCCTGCATGCACACAACCACATTAATACGTGCGTACCTCGTTGGTCATATGTATCCATTGGAATCCTGCAAGTATGAACAGTCTCCATCAATATGCTGGGAAGTGCACTGAGATGGGGTAGTACTCCTCGTCGCCTTCAACAAATATGTTGCGCTCCGATAACACTACGCATGTCAAGCGTAGATATTTTTCGGCAAAATACAGTGGAGCAAAAAGTCTCATTTCTCCGATTCTAAAAGATCACGCGCTACGGCTGCTCTAAATAGGAAATAGACTAAAGGGCTGATAAAATGTCGACTCCGTCGCGGGCTTCCTGAGTGCGCAAGGGCCATAGTCTGCAATTACAATGCCTTGGGAAAAAAAACGGCTCATACCATATGCTCAAAAAATGATGTGGTACTCAATATAATTTTTTGAATTCTGACAAAATTGTCGAAATCGGTTAATTGTTAGGAAGTCAATGTATCGTACCAAAAAGTGGGTGCACATCAAGTTTTCTGCTGCGTGTGGTGTCCATTGAACTCAACATGTGCAATACTTTGTGTCCCAGAAATGACACCACCCTCTTGATTGCTGCTCCTTGATGACTCGGTTTTGTACTTATTTTTCTTCATTTCTATGTTTTTTGTGCTCTACTCATCGTCTGCGTTCTTTCATCCATGCAGACTATTGCAGCGCTTATCGTGGAAATTACGAAAAACACGCCCGCCGTGCAACAGCTATTCAGTCGGGTTTTCGTAGACGATTTCATACCTCATAATGAATATGCTTCCATTTTTCTATACCTGTTTTTTCCACCCGTGTTTGAGCATAATGACATCGTGAACCTATAGTTCTGTAAACGATCGTGGATTCTGAGTGCCTGCATCGCAATGTTTCATTAAGGTCCTCATAAGCAATAGTTTTCTTGGAAGCAGATAAATATTTCAGAATCCACTTTGCCAGCAATAGTCCCACGAGCGGACGGCAATACCCCTCGAATGTATTTCGCAAATTATAAAATGTTGAGGATAGTTTTTTATGGTCTTTCTGCATTTACGTGTTTTACAACAATCTCGGTGGTTGACTGGAAACTGAAGACGAAACGTATGGTTGAAAATGCTGTGCGAAGGAATTAAACAACAAAAAAAAACGCGCTGAAATCTGTTTGGTGGTTTCCTGTGTGTGCATCGAAGTCAGTGCAGTGCATGCAGTCGCATTTATAAATACTATTCACTGAAGCACATTTTAAACCAAGAAGGTAGATGAGCGCAAGTAACACTGAGCGCATTTAACCACAATGATGTTGAGATATTTCCAAAACTCCGGACCGCAGGTGTATTTGGTGGGGAACGAGCACGTTGTTAGGCTTTCCAGGGGATAAAGCGTTCACCACCACACCATGCCAGTACTTCGTTTCGCCTGTCTCTCAGCTAGTTCTGTGATTGAGTCACACACAATATTCTGCCATGAAAATTGTAATAGGCCGTAAATAAAAAGTTAACATTGTGACTGAGCCCACCATTTTGATCCTTGCCATTCCGTCTACATTTTTGTTGGTTAATTTTTGTTGCACTCATTTTCATCTACATTCCTTTATTTCAACGATGTCTGATGTTGCCATTAGTCGTCCTTACATTAGAAGCGTCAGTGAACAAGTTCGAATGACCGTCACCGAAGCTCTTCTTAGGAGCCAACTACAACACTCATGCTTATATCAGAGATCAATAGTTGCTACATAGGAGGAACAAAGAAGGATTCAGAACGCTAACCAACGATGGCCATGAATGAATGCCCAAAACTAGCTTTATTTGCGAGTTCCAAGGAAAAAGAGGAATCATGGTCTCTGCTATATCACATGAAGTTGAATTCATAGGAGAAACACTATACTTTAAATACGCTGCAAAATCGCATCAAGACATTTTCGACGGAAATAAAATAGCTCCATTAGGGAGTTTCGAAGAAACATATCCCACCCCTCCCCCACGATTCTTTCCATTATTTTATTTTTTGATCACGGCTTTGTTATAAAGCGTTTGTTTTCTTTAAGAAGCTTTTTTTTGATAAAGGAAAAGTTTTATACCTGCAAGGCGACAATATCTGGGTTAATAAGGGCAATATGTTTCGCAATTTTCTGAAGACCGTTGTTAACGTTCGCTCCAGATATCCAGAGATTGAATGTCATGACACGCAGAACACCGTTAACAGAACTAATAAATATACACGAGAGTAAGGTGACTACAGCAGTTCTATGATTCATTTCCTGAAAGAAGAAAAAGTCAGGTGATGTTATGATGGAAATGAACAGTGGGCGGAACGAAGTCAAGTTAAGCCAACAGAAATGGCATGATAGGAAAAGAAACGACGGAAATGATCCACTCTAGGTCTTTGGTGTGTTGAAGCTTCTCTGCAAGCACAAACTGAGTTTTCTTAAACCTCGGTATAAATAATCAATGTACCTTGCTTCACTGACAAGCTAACACGAGATTGCCAGCAATATTTATTTGGCTAACGTTTCGACGTCTTCGTCTTCCTCGGAAACGAAACAACGTCTTAGAAAGATGAGACCAAATTACTATTGGTAACAGCCTAGTGTTACTTTATCTATGAAGCAGGGTACACTGATCTTCTATACCGAGGTTTAAGAAGTGTCAGGCTACTATATTGTTACTCTATGTGCTAGCTAAAAATGACACCCGACTTCCGCAGGATGGAATGTCCGGAAAAACAAGTTACCAACGGACAATCACAAGTATCAACAACAGCTCTGCATATAAGAGCATCACTGGACGAGTACGCTCACTCGAGAGATTCTTCTAAAGAAGATCTGGCTCGATGCGACGACCAAGAGGCCACATCGAGAAGACGAGCGACTGTGGACCACCGACTCAGATCATCGGCTCTGAGTAAGACGAGGACGTCGAAACGTTATCACGTTAGCAGAATAAATATTGATTATAAATTCGCGTTAGTTTATCAGTGAAGAAAGGTACATTTTCTACAACTGTTCATCACGTTATCCATCTGAATGCTAGGCACAGAACTTCGAGGAGGAAATCTCAAATGACAGAAGTGTTATCAGTCAACGGAATGCGAAAATGGCTACATACTCCTATCTATTCGTTAATTATGCAACTGGTGGTTAGTTTTAAATGTTAAAAAATAACATGTGGCGCTTGGTAAAGAAAACCAGCAGTGTGATAAATGAAGCCTTTTGAAGGTTCCAGTTCCTTAGATGCTCTCATTTGTTTTAGCTTCCATGATTTCTTTAACATTGCTAAAATAATCTAAATTATCCTATTCGATTTTCCACTACGAGCGAAGTTGGTGCCTTCAGGCGCGATCATAAGAAGAAGCGGACAACATTTACGGAATGCGGTCGTGAGAGAAGGGGCTAGTGGCAGGTGGCGCCGCTTGTGACAATTGTCTTATCATCCAAGCATCAAAGTGTTCTTCGTGGGTTACTCACGGTTCCTGCTGGCATGATGGATGGCGTACTTATTCTCGGTAGAAATAAAAGGCATCGTACAAAACGCATTGCTCATCGTGTTCTCTATACGGGTGAAAAATCCGAACACAAAGCTCCGGGATTCGGAAGCGTTTGGAAGTAATTGACAAATTTCACTAGTGTCGAATTTCTACCCGTAATTTGTTTGAAAGATTGCATCTAGGCAAGCGAATTCAAGCACATGAGTAAATCATGATAAAAGCACATCTACTTTCAAAGAGATTGATTAGATGGAAAACATTGAATGGAAATCGTAACGCAAATGGATTTGCGAAATAAAACTTCCGCTATTAGAAAACGAGGAGGGACCATCATCAACAAAACACTTGAATTGTTTGGTTTGAACTGTGCGATAAGGGTCGTGTCATATAATGATTTAGTCGCCAAAAGACGATTGCCGGTTGAAAACGGTCATCTATTAGAATGAATAATTTGATCTTTAATCGCGACACTCGAATCAATCGTAAACGTCATTTACAATTTTGACTTATTGTCACGGTAACACGAGACTGTTACAGAACTCTAGTGGGAGGCATGGTGCAACATTCCACTCGGTAGAGTAAAAAAGTAGCACCAACGCCTGTGAACACTCGACTGAGCAGCTCAGGCTCTGATATGGGCGCATATATACATATATATATGTATATATATATATATATCGCTGCTTTCTTTTTCAGCAATCGCGACGTTATTATTCGCACAGGTTTGCTATCTTACAAAAATAACACATACAACATAACGACAGCTAACGTTTCGGCATTATCGCCTTCTTCAGAGCCTGGAAGGGTACACTGCTATGTGATTTCCTAAGTCAACCGCTTCAGCAGCACGAACAAACTATTAGATTAATCAAACAGATCAGACATTGCTAAATAAAATAGATCGAACAAGCAGATTATTAGATTACAATTATCGTTCAGATTCTCGTCTGTCTGTTTGTGCTGTTGAAGTGTTTGACCTAGTAAATCACATATCAGTGTACCCTTCCAGGCTCTGAAGAAAGCTATACTGCCGAAACGTCATTTACCGTTGTGTTCTATGTGTTATTTTTTGTAAGAAAATAAGCGTGTGCTGAATAACAATCTCGCGATTGCTGAAAAAGATTTATAATCCAATCCGAGGTTAATAGAAAGTCGAGCTTGGGAACTATATATATAT